AGTAACCCAGTAATCTATATCCAGTAAGCTGGTTTACATTCATATTTAGAGGAAGGAAATTTGCACAATGAGGATTGTCCTGTGCCAATATTCTGGTAAGCAATATTAGGGAGGGTCATAGGGTTGAGAGAAGAGAATGAATAGGAGAAAAACAGCATCCATGATGCTCTTCTATTGCGCTGTCTTGGTCAGGTAAGATGAGTGGTGGGAGAAAAAGACTTCGCAAATTGCTTTATGGTAACCATGGTTTTATTGGTGTCTCTGTTCAAGCACAGTGGAGCCATAAGGGACTAATTCCCTCATTTCTGCCCACAATAGCTACTCTGGGCTCTGTTGGCACACACTGCTTTGAATTTCTTAACTCCATTAACTTTATTCATTCAACTCTTTACAGCCTCTGTTGTGCACCTTGTCTTTGTCTCTCTCTCTATATATACACATGTACTCAGACACACACACATATGCTTCAAAATACTCTATTTGAAACACACACACATATATGATCAGTGGGTTTGGTTTTGGCTCTCTCTCTCTATACACACACACACATATATATACATATGTATATATATATAGGGGGCCCTGGTGGCGTAGCAGTTAAGGAACTCAGCTGCTAACCAAAAGGTCGGCAGTTTGAATCCACCAGCCGCTCCTTGGAAACCCTATGGGGTAGTTCTTTTCTGGCCTACAGGGTCGCTATGAGTCAGAACTGAATGGACGGCAATGGGATTTTTATATAGTGGGTGTCCTTACCTCCAAAGACGTTGAGCCCAACTTCATTTGGAATTCACTAAGTATATTGGCAAGTTTATTATAGTTATTGGTGTTCCGATAGATCTTTTTCCTATGAGGCTTGTTGATATCCAAGAAATCCACAAATACAGTTGAGTCATTCATCAGTTTTTCTTTGGTCCATGGAATCTGTTGTAAGATAATAATTTAATAATATCTGTTAATAGCACAATTCTACCTGTTATCAAGACTAAAATAATATCTGTGTAAGAGAAGCTCTTGGCACAGTAGATCTAGGATTCAGGAGTTCTTAACTTTTTTGTGTCACAGACCCCTTTTTGTCAGTGAAGCCTGTGGACCACTTCTCAGAATAATTTGTTTTAAAATGTGTACAGTAAAATACAAGAGTTACAGAGGAAACCCAAATATACTGAAATACAGTTTTATACATGGATTCTTTGGGTGTTTGGACCCCAGGTTAAGAACTCCTGTTGTGGGAATAACATCTTTAGGTCCCACTGACTATCTGAGAAAAGGAATCTTTCCTTGTTGTGTTGTTAGTTGCTGCTGACTCCATCCCCTGACTCATAACAACCCCATGTGTTACAGAGTAGAACTGTTCCATAGGGTTTTCTTGGCTGTAATCTTTACAGAAGCAGTTTGCCAGGCCTTTCTTCAGCAGAGTGGCTGGGTGGGTTCCAACCGCCAACCTATGTGTTAACAGCAGATTGTAAACCACTTGCGCCACCCAAGCTCCTTAAAAAAACTAAATCCACCACCATTGAGTCAATTCCAACTCATAGCAACCCTATAGGACAGAGTAGAACCACCCCATAAGATTTCCAAGGCTGTAATCTTTACAGAAGTAGATTGCCACATCTTTCTCCCATGGATCTGCTGGTGGGTTCGAACTGTTGACCTTTTGGTTAGCTGCCAAGCACTTAACCGTTGCATCACCAGGCTTCTTAGTCATTGTTAATTCCCACCATAGACTTGCAACTTCCACACTTGCTTTCCTGCTCCACTTTGCAAACTCTTGCCTATCCTCTATATTAAGGTCAAGGGTTACCTCCTCTTTGAAGTCTGACCATTTCCCTCTCCCCGAAACTTGTTTCACCACTGTAGGTTGTGCACAGGTCTGCCCGAGTGCTTAGAGAAATACATTGTGCCCTTAGGCTGTGAGGTGCTTGAAGGCAGGGCCCACGCTAGTTCCACGTAATCCTCAGCATTGCTCTCACTCAGTGCTTAGCACTGGAAGTTCCTGATGGGCACTCAGAAGATGTTTGTTTAGTAAATGGTTAAATGAAGGTCGAGAGGCAGTATGGCATTATGGTTAAGAGAATATCCGGAGCCAGATATCCTCGCTTTGAATAATGGCTCCACCACATAACTAGCTGTGTGACCTTGGGCGAGTTACTTATCCTCATCCTGCCTCACTTTCTTCATCTGTAAAATGAGGATAATAACAGGGCCTGTACCATAGGGTTGTTATGAAGATTAAAATGAGTTATGATATGTAAAGCTCTTAAAACAGTTCCTGGCACACAGTAATTGTTAGCTATTACTAGCATTATTGTATTTTATTAAAAAAGAAAACCAACCTATCAACTAAATGATACTGTATAAAAAATACTTAAAGGAATAATTTATATCCTATGTCCTTGAGGAAGGTTTGGATAATGTGGTCTTTAATTTGGGTTATTGTAGCTGCTCCTGCTGTCCATAGGGCTGAACCCTGCTAGTGGAAGATCTAAGGTCCTCGCTTTCTCCATAGTCACTGCTTGCTCATTTTCTACTGCCTCTACATCTATTCCTTGGTCTGGCAAAGTCTCAAAACTGAGTTGTAGTTGGCATTCATAGAGTGTTTAGGAACTTTTCCTGGGATAGTAATGAGCTCTCTTTAAATGGTTATTTTAGCAAAGTTTTTCCATTCCTTCATTCAATCCTTTATTTACTCATTCATTTCAGATATATTTATTAACCACTAATTTGGAGTAAGGCAGGATGCTAAATCCTGGGGATTTAGATAGAAATAAAAATCAGTGACTTTGTTCTCTGACACTCATAGGTTGGAGAGAAAGAGGCAATTACAGTAAGGGAAAACCCATGGTCTTATGAGAATACAAAAAAAGGGCACTCAACCTGGAAAGGGGGTGGTGGCCAGAGAAGGCCACCAAGAGGAAGCTTGAACTGAACCTCGAAGGATGGCTAGGGGTGAGTCAGGGGAAGGGACTTGCAGGAGTAAAGGTGGAAGCAACAGAGACCATGCTGAGTAATATGAGTAGGGACTGAAGATGGGGCTGCAGGGGTGGGCAGGGGCCTGATTACGAAGGTCCTTATTTACCAAGCCAAGGAATTTAGACTTTATCTTAAGAGCAAGCTGGGTGCAGCATGATCAGATCAAGATTTTAGAAAGCTCACTATGGGAGCATTATGGATTAACTAGGAAGAGGGTCATACTGGTGGCAGGGAGATCTGACAGAATGTGGTTGAAGGAATTTAGATAGAAATCATAAAAGCCGGACTGGGGCAAGTGTCAATGGACAGAAAGAAGGCAATAAATGCAACAGACATCAAAGCAATAGAATCACAGGGTGAGGTTACTAATTTGATACAGGCATGAGGGAAAGAGAGGAGACAAAGTTGATGCTGTTTTGAAAAAAAGTTGATGCTCAAAGAGGTTTGGATGGTAATGCCAGTGACTGAGGTAGGGAATATAAGGTCAGGGCATGTGGAGAGGTAGACAGGGTGCAGTGAACAGAGACTGAGAATGGTTCTGCATATTTGATATGAAGTGCACAGAGTAACAGGAGACAGATTTAGAAGTCAACCCAAATTAACTCTAAAAGCTCTGGCTCTTTCCACCAAACCACCTTGCCTGTATTTGAATTGTAGGTATACGGTCTAGTTCTTTTTATTATTATGATAGCTTACTTTCATTGAGTGTTTACTATATGTCAGGGACTATTCTAAACATTTTACATAAATTAATACCATTAATTCTCATCACAGTCTCATGTGGGAGGTACAATTACTATCCTTATTTTAGAGATGAGGAAACTAAGGCATAGAGAGGTCCGCTTGACCAAGATTACACAAATCATAAATGGAACTTAGGCAGAACCTATGTTTGTAACCTCTATATTCAACTGTTTCTCAGGCTGTTAGAGAAGAAAAGTGAGAATAGAAGAGGGCTGGAGACTCTTATGTCTGAGTGACGGAAGCTGGGGACAATCCAGAGGCATCACCAAAGAGGAGCCTCAAGGAAGGAAAGGAAAAAGAGCTTCACACTGGGGAGAGCCCTGAGAAGTTCCAAACAAGTGAGTGATGTGGCAGTGGCTGTGGAGACGGGAAAGGGGTCACCACTGGGTTACTTAATGGAACGATTATTCTACCAGATGTTTAAAAAAGATTGGAGGGTATGAAGTGATGTGGGTTAACATGAATAATTGTATTATGAAGCCTGAAGAGCAGAAAATCTGGATTAAAAGAAAGCATTTAGAGGAGTGTCTAGAAAGAATTTTTAAAAGCTTTCTGAATTTGTGATTTATCTAAAAAAATACATACGTACGTATACATACACATAGACACACTTAAATTTACACATAGGAATTTATGTTGTATTCTGAGTTTATATGCACACGGTATGTATCTCTACCTTTATCTCTGTGTATAGAGTTTGTATTCTGAAATTCTCTTTTACTGTTGTAAAAATATAGTTGCAGTCTTGAATTTATTGTATTTCCTGGACTGCTATGAGTAAGGTGTGAGAAAGTGGCACCACCAAGAAAGAGAGGAAAAGAAAAGAGTCACCTTGGAAAGGAAATGTCCTTAATTCTCCCTAGAGGAGTTAACAAAGAAATCTAATAATGGAGTCAAGTTCACTGCTCCATTTAGTCACAAGCCTTTTAGCATAAATCTGTTTATTGAAACACTTTATTTTGTGGCTTGGGCTGAAAGCTGGGCATTGAGGAAACCAAAGTTGAATGGGATGGAGAGGAATAAGGGGACTTATTGAAGTCTCAAGAGAGTCTATATTTTAGCTAGTCCTGGAGAAAAATGAGCAGTTTTGAGATTAAAAGCATAAGCAAAGGCATCAACACATTCTTTCTATAATATCAGATCTACGCTTTTATACATTTTCAAAAGAAAGATGGAGTTATTAATAAGATTCTTTCATGAATATTACAGGAATGTCTGAGGACTTTTCTAAAACAATGTTTTCACCAAAAACTCCATTTAAGATAATTTTTGAAATATAAGTTTACCTGAAAATAGTTCTCAAGCTCCTTTGAAAGAATTTGATAGAAAAGTCCTTTTTCCATGGGTTCAATTAAGCGATCATGAAACACTCGGGCGGCTTCATGAACAAAGAGCAGAGCAGCCATTTCTTTAGAGTTAATAACAGCCTTGTCAGCTTGCAGCAATCCTAGAAGAAGCTGTTAAGAATTTAAAAATAACATTTTTTTTTTTAACATTAGCAGGGTAATTTTTTTTTTATTATTTTCACTGTAAGATACCTTAAGGAATTTATTTTGTTACAATAAATTCTAAATCATCTAAAAAAAAACAAAAGAGGCAGAAGACATAAAGAGATATTTCACTAAAGAGGATAGATACACAGATGGCAAATAAGTACAGGAAAAGATGTTTGACATCACGGCATCAGGGACATTAAATTAAAACCACGATGAAATATATAACACACTGTTGGAATAGCTAAAATTAAAAATAGTGACAATATCAAATGCTGATAAGGATGCAGAGAATCGAAACTTTCACACTTTGTGGTGGGAATGTAAATGGTATAGTTACTCAGGAAAACAGTAGCAGTTTCTTTAAAAACTAAACATATACTTCCTATACAACCTGACAATTGCACTCCTGCACATTTATCACAGAGAAATGGGGACATGTTTTCACAAAATCCTGTACATGAATGTTCACAGCGACTTTACTTGTAATAGTCAAAATTAGAGGCAACCAAAATGTCACTCAACATGAGAATGGCTAAATAAACTGCGGTATGTTTATACCATGAAATATTACTCGGCAATACTAAAAAATGAACTATTGATACATGCAACAGCTTGGGTGGATCTCAACCACATTGTTGTTGGTGTTATTTGCCATTGAGTTGACTCCAACTCATGGCAACCTTATATATAACACAATGAAACACTGACCGGTCCTGTACCATCTTCATGATTGTTGGTATGTTTCAGTCCATTGTTGCAGCTATTATGTCAATCCATCTCGTTGAGGGTTTCCCTCATTTTTTGTTTTGTTTTTAAAATTTTATTTATTTTGTTGTTGTTGAGAAGTTTCCCTCATTTTTGCTGACCCCCTACCAAACATGATGTCTTTTTCCAGTTATTGGTCCTTCCTGATAACATGTCCAAAATAAGCAAGTTGAAGTCTCATCATTCTTGCTTCTAAGGAGCATTCTGGTTGTATTTCTCCTAAGACTAATTTGTTCATTTTTCTATCAGTCCACAGTATAGTCAATATTCTCCCCCAACAACACAGTTTGAATGCATCAATTTGTCTGTCTGCCTTTTTCATTGCCAAGCTTTTGAATGCATACGAAGGAATTGAAAAGACCATGGCTTGAGTTAGACACAAATAAGTCATCAAAGTGATAGCTTTGCGTTTAAAAATTTAGAGGTCTTTTGCAGCAGAGGTCATTTGCTTAATTGACTGCATGGTGAGTAAATAAAAGCCAATCTCAAAAGGTCACATACTGTATGATTCCATTTATATAACATTCTTGAAATGATAAAATAGAGATAGAGAACAGATTAGTGGTTGCCAGGGCTTAGAGATGATGGGGGTGAGGGGCATGACTATAAAGGGGTCACACGAGGGACGTTTTTGTGGTGATGGAATAGTTTTGTATCCTGATTGTTGTGATGATTAATACAAATCTACACATTTAGAAAAATGACATACAACTATACGCACATGTTGTTGTTGTTGTTAGGTGCCATCCAATCAGTTCTAACTCATAGCGACCCTATGTACAACAGAACAAAACATTGGCCAATCCTGTGCCATCCTCACAATCATTGCTATGTTTGAGCCCATTGTTGCAGCCATTGTGTCAATCCATCTCATTGAGGATCTTCCTCTTTTTTGCCGACCCTCCAACTTACCAAGCATGATGTCCTTCTCCAGGGACTGATCTCTCCTAGCAGGATAATTTTTAAAGTGAAGTAGACTCACAATTTTTGCAGGATTATGTTCATAAAAATAGAAGCAATTATCCAAGGTAAGAATTGTCAATTTTTATAAGTGATAAATTTGTGATGAGATGGGCAAGTTACAAGTCAGGGTAAGCTGGCATGGAATCACCCATAGAGGGAGGGGGTTTTAGGGACTCCTCAGCATGTCTAGGGAAAATCTTGCTAGGATGGGTGGACACACATCATAACTATGGTACTGGCATGGAGGCAGGGGGGCCGGTGGTGCTATCAAGGTGCCTCTTTATGTTGATATACTCTAGATTCTAAGTTGGGATTAAAAAAATTTATAACACATTTTCAAAGATTATATATGCTATTTTGGGCTAAACTCCCACAGTAGAAGGAGAAAGATATCAAATTCATGAATTGTTTTCAATTCTGAAAATTTATTTGACCAAGGCCGATGATTAAATCAGCACTGTGGACATAATTCCCTGGTATGAAAAACAAGACTTATAAAAATTCATGCATGTTTATGAAATGTATACATGCTTTCATTTTCTGAGAGTCACAACAAGATCTTAGAAATAAAGCAAAACCAAAAATTATATAATAACCTTATTACTTCTTTCCCTGCTGAGGATCTCAACCAATATTCCATTAGTGGTGTCATCACTGAAGTCTCTGCATGAAATTATTTTAACAATTCTTTTCAACTGACTCATGGCATAAGTTGCTAATAAATAGCAGAACTAACTAACTTGAATTTCACTTTTTTTTCCTTTTAACCATTTAATGTTGACAGTACCAGTGAATAGAGAAATCAGAGAGAGAGGCTGAATTTAGTGGCTAAAAGTACATCTCTCAACTTAAAATTTAAAACTGAACTAGAGAATGAATTTGAACACAAACCTTAAACATATCTCGAAGATTAAACATGTAGTGACACTTGGTTGGAGTCGGTAACATGTTCTGATGTACTTGATAGTATATAGCTAGGGAACAACATATCAGTTGATCCTTAATTTTCTGAACATCGGCTGTGAAGTTATTTACAGAGAAATACATTCCCAAATGAGCCTTTAAAAAAAAATTATGTAATTTAGTTTGCAAAAAAAATACAATAAAGTGTAGACTTTTTCTGGCTAATCCCTATCAAAGGTTCGTATTCTATAACAGAGGACTGCTTTCATTAGAAATGTTAATAATTAGAATCCATTTAAAATAGGAAAATGGACTATACAAAGACACTGTGGATGTTGCAAACTGGGGGAAACTCTAATTAATCTGAGTTTGGTGTATGGTCTAGCGGCATGTGCTCCACGCTCTCTGGGGACAGTCTAGTGCTCCACCTATGTGCACACGAGGTATGCTGCAATTTCTCCTCCTCCTTGCTCCCTAGTAGATGTTCCTAGAAGAAGTATAAGGTAATGAAACTATTACCTCTGTTTGAATTGGTATATGTGTATACTTTCTTATAAATTACTTTTTCTTTTGAAGTTTGGATTATTGATCAACTCATCAGAATTACCAAGGCATTTTAAAAAAACAAATTTTAAAAATTAATCTTTAAAATTTATATTGTAAAGAAAAAAAACCCACATGATTGGTTTTGAGGAATTTAGTAATCTTGCATTAGATTTATTTTTCTTATCATACTAGATTTCAACTTAACATTTTTTCCAATAAGATACTTTAGAATTTTTTCTCTCAGTGTTTTCTTTTATTCCACAGGGAAACAAAAATAGTAAATCAATTCTACAAAAAATCTGGGTGTATTTGTTAAAAAAGCAGATTCCTGAGCGCTATCCCATATATATTGGACAGAATCTCTGAGAATAAAGTCCTGGAATTTGCATGTCCAATAGGCATCAAGCATGCACCACATGTGTTTCTGATACACACAAAACACTATCAAATTTAGAAACAAATTGTAACAATAGGCCAGAAAATACAGGGAGAGTAAAATCCATCTCCGTAAGAGAATTTTCTTTAAAGAAAATTTTATTCATTTTAGCTAAGTGGTTTTAAATTCTTACTTTTTAAAGTTTCTCATTTATTTTTTATCTTACGGAATTAAAAATCTATTACCTGGAAAATAGTATTTAAGGCACTTTGTGGAGGATGAGGCAACACCAGTATGGAAAAATGTTTGAGGAGACGCGGGTTAATATCCCTCCCCCCACCTGGAGGAACACAAGCTGCAACCAGAGAGAGATCTTGAATATTCTGCGGGAAGAATAAAAAGTAAGAGTAACTAAATGCATCTTTAGAAAGTTAAATATGTACCTTCCTTGCCCCAAAGGGACAAAAGACTTAAAAATATTTAGGCAAAAATATTAAGAAAGATGTATAAATGGATTGCCATTTACTGCAATACAAAAATTACTATAATAAATAAATCTATCTTCTAAGAAGTAACCTATCCTAAAATGAAATTTCAAGACATGTTATTTCTAGGAAGCCTTCTAAATGTCATCAGGAATATCCCATTTAAAAAGCAGTCATTGGAAAATAAGCAATACGTTATTGAGGCTAGCAAAGAGGGTTCTGGTGATAAGTGAGAAATTAGGAGAAGAGCCTTGTTAGTGTGTCTCCAGAATGGTTAGAATTGGCTTCGGGTGAGATGATGTTTGACTGTTTACCTAATAATATCCATTTGACGTATCCCAGCATCACAGCATTATAGAGCTGGGTGGAATTATACAGATAATCTAGTCTACTCACAATGGGATGCTTTTAACAGCTTTGTTCCTGCCTAATACCCATACCTGAGGCCACAGAAATCTCATAAAAGGCCTGCTTCAGCTACTTTCTCATCAATTCAGGGCATGTCTCTGAGCTGTACATTCCAGATCCATGTGCAGCCTTCTCAAATTTTAGTCTCCTGGATTCTCTCCCAGTGGCTGGCATCTGAATTCTTCCTCTCTGCCTTGGGTTGATGGTTGGTTCAGTCTGGCTGGTGTGTGAGATGATGCCACTCACCAGCCAGTGTGCCCCATCCAGGATTCTGGGCCCAAGTTGGTCTGAGACATGAGACTGTAATCCAACCATCTAATTTTACAGATGAGGAAACTGAGGACCAGAAAGTTTAACTAGTACAGTCACTTCTGGATCACAGGGCTTGTGATTTCCAGAGAAGAAATCAAATAGGTGCGAATAAAGAAATACTGAATTTCAACAGGGGTCTTGATTTCAAAATACATACATTAAATTCATTGTAGACAGGCATTTGAGAGAGAAAAGTGCATCTGAATATATTTTTTTTAAAATTTAAGCCATTCTTACTTGGTTCAATGTATCAAAAATAACTGCACAGGAATGCCTACTTGGGATTTTTTTTTTACTCTGTAATACTTCTGAAAATCCTTGATCTATGTTCTTGAAAATAAAGATGCAAAGTAGTCTTACATAGAGATTAACGATGTATATTGAGAGTCCACATATCTTTCTCATATGTATTAACTGCTGATGTATTGAAAAATTTGATGAACTATTAATGCAGTTAACAATAGTGAGCATTATTTGACTCAGAAACTAGAACTTTAGGGCATACTTAACAATTTTTACTATGATTTTAACCTACTAAAAAAAATTCCTATGAACGTATGGACCTCTGCTAAATTGCAAAGATGTAATTGGCGTGGTTAATTTAGGATTTCAACTTTGCTTAGCATGTCCATATGGCTAGACTTTCTAAATTTCTCACTTAATTCACTCAACATATTTAATTTATTGTTAAGCAGTAATATTTAAGTGAACAAAATCTTTGTACATACTGTACCTTCCATGTAATTTTTTCAGTGTCGTAAATCCCTCCCATATCTAATAATTGTCTGATCAATTCCAGAGGTGGTTGTGCTCCATATAGCTCTGATACAGGCATATTCAGATCATCAATAAATACTACAATCTTAAGGAAGACAAAAGATTTTAAAACTTGTTTATTAGTACTGCTTTTCTTTAAATTCTGAATTAGGAATATTAACTACACCATAAAGTAAAAATAAAATTATATATAATAACCTATCTATTTTTCTATTAAAAAGTAGCAGACAAAATCCAATTTTGAAGATATGGTTTTAGAGAACAGTAAGTTTTAAAAATAGGAGAAACTCTACTCAATCTCTGTACAGCTACAATAATTATGTCTAATAGTAGTTATAAATGCATTTGATGCTGGATAAAGTAATCTAATTGTAGTTATTACAAAGGATAATTATTCATTTAACATTTACTTATTGAGTGCCTACTATGAGCAAGACACTGTTTTAGGTATTTATTTCGTATGTACTCTGGTTTAGGAATAAGATTATCTTTTGGAACTAAGCTCTTAGAATTCTGCAAATGCTGTTGTCATAAACAATTAGCATAAAATTTAGACACATTTCCAATTTTTAAGCCTGTGTTACCACTTCTGCCGGTATCACGCGCTGAGGTGCACTCACTGTAATCTCTGAGCCCATTAGCCTCTTTAGGTTGTGTTAATTTTGGTAAAACAAATAACTAGTTAAAAAAAATACAAATAACCGTTGAATTATCTAACCTGTAATTGTAAATATAAATTTTTAATAAGACACTCAATTTCCCCTCTTTTGTATCACAAATTGGATTATAGACACATTAATTTGACTGAAATTTCTCTTGCTTGTCTTTTTATTTGTTGAATTAAACCAGCTGATGTTGAGTCAACACTGACCACCATACTTTTATACAAATAACTCACACATTATACTTTTTTTTTTTGGCCAACTGTGCAATCCCCTCATGCATTATTTTCCTAGGCGAGCTATGTGCATTATACGTGTGGGCATGCTATTTATGTGGGCACATTATTTGCAGAAAAACACAGTAGGTTGCCCAACTATTACGCTTTCAAAATCCCTAAAATTGCCACGTTGGCAAAGACCCACTAAATTTATCCAAATCTTCAGTTAAAATCAAGGAAATATGAAGCAAACCTTATATGAAATGACAAGAGGCCCTGAATAGCTCAAGCAATGCTGAAAGACAAGAACAAAGTAGGAGGACTCACATTTCCTGATTTTAAAACGTATTATACAGCTACAGTAATCAAAACAGCCTGGTACTAGTATGAAAATAGACACATAGACAAATGGAACAGAATTGAGAATCCAGAAACAGACCTATACTTCTATGATTAACTGATTATTGATAAGGGTGCTAAGTCCATTTGATGGGAAAAGAAGGGTCCCTTCAATAAAAGGTGTTGGGAAAATTGGATTTCTACATGCAGAAAAATAAAACAGGATCCATGCTTAACACCATGCACAAAAACAAATTGAAAATGCATTAAGGACCTAAATGTGAAATCTAAAACCATAAAATACTTAGAAGCAAGTGAGGGGCAACAGCTGTCAGGTCTAGCTTTTAACAATAGATTACCTAATATAATAACAAAAATACAAACAGCAAAAGACAAAATAAATAAATGAGACCTTATAAAAATTAAAAACCTTAATTCACCAAAAAACTTTACCAAAAAAGTGAAAAGACAAGCTACTGACTAAGAGAATATCTTTGGGAACCATATATCCAATAAGAATCTAATAACCAAAATACATACAAAACTTAGATAACTTAACAACAAAGACAAATAATCCAATCATAAAATGGGCAAAGAGCTTCAACAGACGTTTCACCAAAGAGGTCATTCAAACAATGAAAAAATGCTCAACATGACTAGCCATCAGAGAGATGCAAATCAAAGCCACAATGAGATACTATTTCATACCCACTAGGAGGGCTAAGATAAAAAACAAACAAACAAACAAAAAACTGGAAAATAACAAATGTTGGTGAGGGCGTGGGGAAAATGGAATTCTTATCCATTGCTTGTGGGAATGCAAAATGGTACAGCCATTGTGGAAAACAGTTTGGAAGCTCCTAAAAAACTAAAAATAGAACCACCATATGACCCAGCAATTCCACTCCTAGGTATATACCCCAAAGACTTGAAAGCAGAAGACTTAAACAGATACTTGTACATTGCAGCACTATTCACAATAGCCCAAAGGTGGAAACAACCTAAATGCTCATCAACAGATGAATGAATAGACAAAATGTGGTTAATACATACAATGGAATACTACTCAGCCAGAAAGAGAAATGAAGTCTCGATATATGCTACAGTATGGATGGAGCTTGAACACATTATGTTGAGTGAAATAAGTCAATCACAAAAGGACAAATACTGTTATGACCTCACTTACATAAAAAGATAAGAACAGGCAAATGTATACAGACCAAAGTTAGTGGTTACCAGGGGTGGGAGGAAAGAAGAAAGGGAGGCTTATTGCTATGCAGTACTGAGTAATGGTTCACAGTGATAGAAAAATTGCATTGATTAGTGGTACGGTTGCTCAGCTAATTAATGTGATTGCTGTCAATCAGTAGTACACCCGTAAAAAGCTGAATTGGCAAAACTTTTATATATTTACAACAAAAACAAAAAAATGCAGCTGCCGAGGCTGCTTATGCACAACCAAACACCTCATGGGATTTGGTTCCTTGGTTTGGAGGTTTAAGGTCATGGTTTCATGGGACATACCAGTTAAGTGGCCTAATAACATGGGTAGTGCTTCCATTCCGTCTCTTAGCTCATTGTGTAGTGCCTGGGGTCTTAAAAGCTTGCTAGCAGCCATTCAAGATACAATTGGTCTCTATTCACCCGGAGCAACAGAGGAGGAAGAAGGAGAATTAGGAATAGGAGGAAGATATGGAATATGTGGCTAATTGCCTCCATGAACAACTGCCACCTTTGCCATGAGACCAGAAGAACTGGACGGTGCCTGGCTACCATTACTGAACATTTAGATCAAAGATTCTACAGCAGAATCTTTTTCGAACCGGGGAAAATGCAGAACAGAACTTCAAACTCTCACGGACTTCAGACTTTCTGGAGCCACAGAGGCTGGATGAATCCCTGAAACTACTGCTCTGAGGTAATTTTTAAACCTTAAATCAAAAGCATCCTCTGAAGTCTTTTTAAAACCAAACAATAGTTTAGCTTAATTAGTAAAGAATGTCTGCCTTGAGCATTATGCTCTTGTAAGATCTATCTGTATAGGATCAAACGGACAACAGCAAATGGAAAGATTAGATAGGAAACGTAGAGGGCAGTGAGTTTATGGTAATAGAGGAGGAACAACTTCTAAAAAGAGGGTAGGAATGGTTGCACAAGTTGAAGAATATAATCAATGTCACTGAATTGTCATGTAGAAACTTGAATTCGTGTATGTTTTTGCTCTGTATATTCTCAACAACAACAACAAAGTAAATTATTTTTTTAAAAAAGCCCTTGAAATTGATAGCTGTAGGGATGAAACTCAAGAGTTTCTAAGGAACTCATGTAATTTTCTTAACAGTGAGTCCTGCAAATTTCTTGACCCTGAGCTTCTTTTATGGTACTGGACTGGAGTCACTTATTGTAAATTTCAATCATGACAGAGAGTTTGGTTCTACAAATGGACAGTGAATAATGCACCAGGCAGACGGAGGGTAAGAATAGGGAACACCCAATACCTTTTCAAGAAAGGAGGAGTTGTCTGAGGTATAGCAAGGCTATGTTCTTAATACCTTTTCCTGAGGCTGTGAATGTCACAAGGTTCTCCTACTGTTACAGTCCCAAGTCATGCTACAGGAATAAAAGTCTACAGAATATACGGTAACATAGCGATTGGCATCTAACCCATTTCCCAGTCTTCTTTTAGGCTTTATTCAGAGTCCAGTAGCTTCTTTTGGCTGTAGTAATTCTGAATCAGTGTAATTCATTATGTTGGAAACAGAATTATATTGATTTGAAAACTAAAGCCTCCAGTATTCATCAAGTACATCTTCAAGGAATGTTTAGGAGTATAGGTTACACTCATCTTTATCTGTTTATCAATATTAATTAAAATAAGTAAATTTGTTCCTCGTGCAGCATGCATAGGCTAGCTGACAGGTCTGGGATGTGCTCACCCTGCTGTTCTTTGGCGCTCCAAGAGTGTCTTTAGTTCTTCTTGTTAACTTCTTCAGAATCATCCCCTTGGTCTTGGCAGCTGTCGTATTGGTGCTAAAATTTATTGTGGAGACTATAATCCCTTTATCAGTATTTTTAAATGAACTGTCATCAGTCCTAACTTCTGATGTTTTAGTAGTCTTATCTACGAGGCCAAATATGCAAAGAAAAACAAACTTAAAACACTTTAAGAATATTTTTCTTTATTTCAAAGTGTTAAAAATTTGAAAATCATTTAATTTTACTATATTATTATCATTTTCAAGCAAATTACTCTGAGGACAAATCAGTGAGAGAAGGTACACCAACTCTGGAATTTTTCTAAACGTTTCCTTACTTTTTAGCAGTAAACAGTGTCTCTTTGCAATAACAGTCAAATGTGACAGCATGGAAGCGCAGAGGATTCTCTATCAATTATTCAAGACAAAAACATGTAACTGAGAAGTTACACTTCTCATGCTTTTAAAATGTTTAGCACTTTTCAATATGCTATATTAATAATAAAATAAATGTGAAAGATCTGAAAGCAGCATTTAGCTGTGTCCACCAAAGGCACTAAAATTAGGGCATATTCCCTTCCTTGAGCGATGATCAACCAGAAGGGTTATTTGGGATGGTGCTGTAGCAACTTAGAAGTAAAACTAAAAGCAAGAACACTTTTGGCAGGAATCTTGTAGCCCAGCTCCCTTTCCCTTTTTACAACTACTTTGGGCCACCCCATTATTTTCTCCTTGACAAATGGAGTTGCCTTCCCCAAACTACAAAACTTTCAGAATTTTTGAGCTCCACAGGTGTTTCTATTGTATAGCTTAATTTGAGAACTCCTACATCATCATAACACTTCTATTGTACTGTTTTTTAAAAGCATTAAAGAATAGAATAGATGTTGCCTTCAGTTACTTCTAAACTTAGTCCATGATTCCACTTATAAGCCAGTACCAACTTTCTGGTGAGCCATAAACATTCCACCTTTTGAAGAGGGTGGAGCGTTTGAGAGGCACTGGTGGCTCAGTGGTAGAATTCTTGCCTTCAATGGGGGACACCATGGGTTTCATTCCTGCCAACAGACTTCGTGTGCAGCCACCAGTACCTGCTTCCAAAAGGGGTCATCAGGAGTTGGGGTCCCAGCAGCCAACAACAATAACAGTTTAACGGAGCAGTTTAAAAGGGTATTGGTTATTTTTCAGGAGTTTGTCTTCCTTTTTTAAAATTACCCCATAAGTTTTTAAAATGTTGAAGTTCTTTGAATAGTTCATCAATACATTTTCTACAATTCCTTGACAAATTAAAATTTTTAGTCTTGGATTGGACAGTATGAAATAATGTGCATATGGTTGAGATACGAAGGTTCTGAAATTGTTTGCACAGCTATACTTACCCGAATCTCCAGTTGCTGTTTTATTAGTTTCAGAAATCAAGATGCTGATATTCTGCTTCAGGCTATTGGAATAAAATGTTTTAAGGATTCAAAATTAGCTTATTTACCATAGTAGCCATATGAACAACAACAACAAAAGAAAGTAACATGTGTGATTAATTTGCGTTCTAAGAAATCACAGTTTTTTTTTCCTGTTCACACTTTTACAGATAAAATTGGTGTCACCATTAGAACTGATAGCCAAACATGAGCTTACTCTAAAAATCAAACTGGACAAATTCCTAGGATGGCAGGCTACTGGTAATTTTCTATGGACTGTGCCTTGCTCTTTTATAAAATGCATTTTGCCTGATGGATCACTCAGCAAAAGCTCCACTCACCTTTATTTCACTCGTTTTTAGTTTTTTTTTTCGGTTTGATTGAAAATAGTTATCTTTCTCTATTGTTAAAATCTACTTTTCACTTCAGTGTAAATGTTGAACATACAATAAAATTTTCAGATTTCATTATTCATAATTTTATAATAATATAGATGAAGAATGATTCCTATTGTATTAAATGTTTCAAAAATAATTTCTCTGATTTAAAGCTCTCATTTAAGTGGAGTAGGAATCTACTTCAAAATCATTAGTATAGGATGTAAATGATGATGGCTTGAACTAAGATGGTGGCACTGGAAAAAAGAAAAGTAGAGGGATTCAGGACATGTTGTGGAGATAGAACCGACCTGACTAGTAGAAGATTGAATGAGGGGCAGGGGAAAATGGGACCACAGGGAATAGGAAGAGTCAGGTGGGCTATTAGAGATGGGCTGGTGAGAAGAACGGGTGGGTGGGTAGGGATTCAAGTATCGTTCCTAGGTTTCAGGCTTGAATAACTGGGTCTTATTTATTGAAATGAGAAACATTGGAGGAAGAATAGGGAGAGAAAAACATAAGAGTTATGTTTTCACTATATTAAGGTTGAGATGTCTATGAGACATCCAAGTATATATGTGACATAAAACTAAAAAAAACCAAACCCATTGCCGTCTAGTCAATTTCAACTCATAGTGACCCTATAGAACAGAGTAGAACTGCCCCATAGGGTTTCCAAGGAGCAGCTAGTGGATTCAAACTGCCAACCTTTTGGTTAGCAGCCATAGCTCTTAACCACTACACTACCAGGGTTTCTATATGTGGCACAGGCAGTTATATATACGAATCTGATGCTTAGAGGAAAAGTCTCATATGGGCTTCTCCACACTTCCATCTTCTATTCAATTCAAACAACAGGAGACTTCACTAATACTTTAACAAGATTCAAATTTACTTTAAAATTTTGAACTTTTTGACAGTTCAATTTGGATATCTTTTTCTTTTTTTCTTAAGGAAGAGGCAGACAATGTGATAAAGACAAAGCTCTTTGTAAAGAGTACTTTTATATTTAATGAGAAGAAAATATAGTTCTAATGCAGGAAAATCAACTGTATGCAAAATTTTATTTGTATGTTCTAGTTGCATTTTTCAGGAAGGAAAATAATTTATAACTACATTTTATTTTATGTTATGTATAAAAACTGAAGGACATCATGTTTAGTAAGGTAGAGGGTCAGCGAAAAAGAGGAAGACCCTCAATGAGATGGATTGACACAGTGGCTGCAACAATGGGCTCAAACACAGCAATGATTGTGAGGATGGTGCAGGACCGGGCAGTGTTTCATTCTGTTGTACATAGGGTCGCTATGATTCAGAACTGACTGGATGGCACCTAACAACAACAACAATAAAAACTGAGGTTTTAAATTTAGTTACATTTAAAATAAATGTAAGAATTTCTCACTTAAAGGGATTAATTTAGTTGTTAACAATGATTTAGGAAATAATATTGGAGTCATTATTCCCTGGCCTTGAGCATAGAGAATGTGACCCAGCTGGCAATGGACTCACAAAGACACATCAGCTGGGCCCTGACCCTTAAAGACAATAGCTAGGACAATCTTGGAAAATATCTTTTAGGGAACCTTTCACATAAATCAGTCAAACAGAACACAAGAATTTCCACTCTTATCTTTTTTATAAGCACTTATGAATAGAAAATTTGTTGGACAATGAAGACCCTCCTGACTATCATAACTGAAACCTATACCAATGATTGTTAAGAAAGATAATTTAAAATGTAGGATCACAGTTTCTAGCCAATCTGTGAAAAGGTGAAGTTTTCAATGGTTTTGCCCATTTGTAATGTTAATATATACTGATGATTCTGTAATGTTCCTTGGACTTGGGCAGACATGACTCTAGCAGCATGCTTCTCCGTTTTCCCACTTTTGTCTATTCTGTAATTTCCTTGGATTCAGGCAGACATTAGCTCTGGCAGCATGCTTGTCTGTTTCCCACTTTTGCATCTTTGAACATATGCTGAATGAAACTTTCTTTTGCTTTACTGAACTTTGTGATGTTTTTACCCTACAACAATATTTAGGAAAAACATTTTTTCTTAACTCTTTTTTTAAAAATAATTCTGCATTTTCACTCAGCAGTTTTTTTTTTTAAACAAGGTGCATTTATATATTATAGCAAAATATTTTTTACCAGACAGTCAAATTTAGAGTTTAATATATACAACCTTGATTTTTTAATTTCGTTATATAATAGGACTTCTCCCAAAATTGACCCATATTTTACATCAAATGCTCCTGGTCCCTCTAACTTTTCAAGCATTTGGTTAATGGCACTGGTTTTCCCAACACCAGGCTCTCCTAAGGAGACAAAAACAAAAACATCAGGTTAGGTTTCTATGCAAGAAAACATATTAAAATGAAGCAATAACATTTTCCTTTATTAAAAAATTACATGAAAAGTACATTTTTTCTCTTCCTTTCTTTCTTTTAATTGTACTTTATTTTTTGTTTTTTATTATTGTACTTTAGATGAAGGTTTACAGAACAAACTAGCTTCTCATTAAACAGTACACATATTGTTTTATGACATTGGTTAACAACACCACATGTCAGCACTCTCCCTTCTCGACGGGTTCCCTATTACCAGCTTTCCTGTCCCCTCCTGCCTTCTAGTTGTTGCCCCTGGGCTGCTGTGCCCCTTTAGTCTTGTTTTATGGGCATGTCTAATCTTTGGTTAAGGGTGAACTTCGGGAGTGACTTCATTACTGAGCAAAAATGGTGTCCGGGGGCCGTACTCTCAGGGTTTCTCCAGTCTCTATCAGGCTAGTAAGTCTGGTCTTTTTTTTTGTGAGTTAGAGTTTTGTCCTACATTTTTCTCCAGCTCTATCTGGGACCCTCTATTGTGATCCCTGTCAGAGTAGTCAGTGGTGGTAGCTGGGCACCATCTAGTTGTACTGGACTCAGTCTGGTGGAGGCCGTGGTAGTTGTGGTCCATTATTCCTTTGGACTAATCTTTCCCTTGTATCTTTTGTTTTCTTCATTTTCCCTTGCTCCCGAAGGGGTGAGACCAGAGGAGTATCTTACATGGCTGCTCACAGGCTTTTAAGACCCCAGACATTACTCACAAAGAATGCAGAACAATGTCTTTACTAGCTGTTATGCCAATTGAGCTAGATGTTCCCCGAGACCATGGTCCCCATAGCCCTCAGCTCAGCAATTCAGTCCCTCAGGGAGTTTGGTCATGTCTATGGAGCTTCCATGATCTTGCCTTGGACAAGTTGTGCTGGCTTCCCCAGTATTGTGTACTGTCTTTCTTACCGTCACCAAAGTTACCACTTATCTATTGTCTGTTTAGTGTTTTTTCATCCCCACCCCTCCCCTTCCTCGTAACTATCAAAGATTGTTTCTTTTTGCATGTAAACCTTTTCATGAGTTTTTATATTAGTGGTCTCATAAAATATTTGTCCTTTTGTGACTGACTTATTTCACTCAGCGTAATGCCCTCCAGATTCATCCATGTTATGAGATGTTTTGAAGATTCATCATTGTTCTTTATCATCGTGTAATACGACATTGTGTTTATGTACCACAGTTTGTTTATCCATTCATCTGTTGACAGGCACTTAAGTTGTTTCCATTTTTTTGCTATTGTGAACAATGCTGCAATGAACACGGGTGTGCATATGACTATTCATGTGACAGTTCTTATTTCTCTAGGATATATTCCTAGTAGTGGGATTGCTGGATCATATAATATTTCTATTTCTAGCTTTCTAAGGAAGCGCCATATCATTTTCCAAAATGGTTGCATCATTTTGCATTCTCATCAGCAGTGCATAAGAGTTCCGATCTCCCCGTGCCTCTCCAACATTCGTTATTTTCTGTTTTTTTGATTTGTGCCAGTAATGCCAGGGTGAGATGGTATTTCACTGTGGTTTTGTTTTGCATTTCTCTAATGGCTAGTGATCGAAATCATTTCCTCATGTGTCTGTTAGCCCTTGATTGTCTTCTCTGGTGAAGTGTCTGTTCATTTCCTTTGCCCATTTTTAAACTGGATTATTTGTCTTTTTGTTGTAGAGGTCTTGGCTTTTCCTGTAGATTTTAGACATTAGACCTTTGTCGGATTTGTAATAGCCAAAATTTTTTTCCCAGTCCGTAGGTTCTCTTTTTACTCTTTTGGTGAAGTCTTCAGATGAGCATAAGTGTTTTATTTTGAGAAGATCACAGTAATCCAGCTTATTTTGTGGAGTTTCTTCCTATCTTTTTTTGTGGTTAAGAGTGACTAAATCAGGGAGTTAATATATACCTTCTCAAATTTGAATTATTTATATCTCTTACAAAAGGATAGGCTAGGAGTTAACCATTGTTTTTACCTCAGTTCATTTAAGCCTACCTTGAATATTTTCCTTATACCCATTGCTGTTGAGTTGATTTCCACTCATAGCTGAACCTATAGCAACCCTAGCACAGCAGAAATACTACATAAAATGAAATTCCCTGAACATATTTGCCAACACAATCTGAGGGAACACTTTGATAATAAACGTACTGAAGCAGAACAGAGACCCATGATTTTACAATTCACCGAAATACTCAAAGTAAGAATCATCTGATACCAAACTGGAGGCAAGATAGAGGTTATCTGAGAGTTACAACTTCATTTTGCCTGAATTCTTTGAGAATGGAGCCTGGAAAGTGAGACTAATGTCTCTTGTAAAAGGCAACACAACTTAGAGAATTGGAAAAGGTAATCAATGGGCTGCAATAAATGTTAAGGAAAAGTAAGAGCTGGATTGAATTACTCCTTTGGTAATAGAAAGGAGGAAAATGTTAACACTGAGTTGAAGAATTATGTGTGTAAATTTAATTAAGCCAAGCAATGTTATTCTCAGTGGCTCTGTAAGGACCTCAGCCCACAGGCTATGGAGGCCACACATATATTAATCTATATTGTTTGTCTTAGTTTTCTAGTGCTGCTATAACAAAAATAACACAAGTGGATGGCTTTAACAAACAGAAAATTACTTTCTCACAGTTAAGGAGGCTAGAAGTCCAAATCAGGATGCTGGCTCTGGGGGAAGGCTTTCTCTCTCTGTCAGCTCTGGAGAAAGGTCCTTGTCTCTTAGCTTCTGCTTCTGGGTGATCTTCATGTGGTTTGGCATCTCTCTTCTCCCTTCTCTGCTTACTGATTTGCTTGCTTAATCTCTTTTGTATCTCAAAAGAGATTGTTTCAAAACACACCCTACACTAACACTGTCTTATTAACATAACAAAGACAACCCATTCCCAAATGGGATTATAACCACTGGCATAGAGGTTAGATTTACAGCACATATTTTTGGGGGACACGATTCAATCCATGATATTCTTCTTTTGGAATTTGTCCTAAATGTAATGAAAAGATGAAAAAAGATCGATAATGTCCTGCATGGGCAAGTGTGTGGGGAAATAGGCATTCATATGCTGTTAGTAAGAATATAAATTGATACAGTCTTTGTGGAAGGCATTTTTGCTGTATCAATCACAAATAATAAAATGATGCACTTTGATCCAGAAATTCTAAGAATTCTAAGAAATTGTAGCTCCCAGAATATTTTGTACACATAACCTGTTGCCCCAGAGTCGATTCCGACTCATAGCAACCCTACAGAGTAACCCTATAGGACAGAGTAAAACAGCACCCTAAGGTTTCCAAGGAGCGGCTGATGGGTGCTTTCACCATTGCACCACCAGGGTTCCAAAAAAAGAACTCCCTGACCGGGAATCAAACCCCTTGCCGCAATGGTGAAAGCGCCAAATCCTAACCATTAGACCACTGTGTGTGTGGAGGAGGGGAGGGAGCTAGTACACATAGGCCTGTAAAAATACATGTACAAAGATGTTTACTGAAATATTGTTTATTTTATAAAATTGACAACAACAAATGTCCAACAATGGTGGCCTAGGGGTTTTTACTTATCTCAATACTACTTAATCTTCGTAACAAATTAGGCATCACTAGTGGCACAGTGGTTAAGAGCTACAGTGAGGTACGGCTGTCCCACAGGGTCGCTAAGAGAATCGACTGAATGGCAAAGGGTTTGGCTTCTTTTTTTTTTTTTTATCTGCCCATTTATTTATTTTATTGTACTTTAGGTGAAGGTTTACAGTCAGTACACATATTGTTTCATGACACTGGTTAACAACGCCACGACATGTCAACAATCTCCCTTCTCGACTTTTTTTTTTTTTTTTTTTTTTTTGGTGAAAATATACATAGCCAAAGATACACCATTTCAAAAATTTCTGCATGCACAATTCAGTGACATTGATTATGTTCTTCCAGTTGTGCTGTTATTCTCACTTTAGATGAAGGTTTACAAAACAAAATAGTTTCTCATTAAACAGTACACATGTTGCCCTATGACAATGGTTAACAACCCCGTGACATGTCAACACTGTCCTCACTCAACCTTGGGTTCCCTATCACCAGCAGGTTTGGCTTTTTTTGAAGGTCCGTATTACAGACGGGAAAAAAGAGGCTGAGGAAGGTTAACTAACTTATCGCAGGTCACACAGCTAGTAAATGGCAGGACTGGAATTCAAACTAAGAAGTGTTTCTATGAATTTAAAGCCTAAACCTTTTCTACCATAATGTTAGAATTATTAAAGGGAGGAAATTGAGAAAAAGTGTCACATGCTGAGCTTAATTTTATTAACTATTCTTTCCAAATCCTGCTGGTCAATCTTTCAAAAACGTATTTCTCATGGTTTTATATGTTAAAGAACAGAAAACTATTTCAGTGTATTCACTTGGCTTTCAATCATCCTTTTGTATTATAGTTCATGTGAGGAACTTAAGAATAATAACTACCCAAGCTTGTAACTTCACTTCCTGAAATTTTGAAACCATAAAATGCAGGCCCAAGTAACATAAATTTCTTGTATTTAAAATATGAATAGGGAAGACTGGAATCTGGGATGGTGGTGGAGAGTGGGGTTTGGAACCCATGTCCAAGGTTGGGATCTGCCCTTAAGCAGACTCTGGCCAAATCACTAAAATTTTCAAGGTACGTATATATTTTTCCACTTATATGTGAAGACTAGATAATCTCCAAGCCTCATTCTAGTTCTGAAATTCTTCTGTTATGTATTTTAATACCTGTGAGAAGTACAGGGCAGGAATTCTTTAAAAGAAGGCTTATGAGGAAAGAAAGGCATGTTGTATCTCTGGTAGCAGTATGATTAATGTACTCTCCACATTCTGTTATCTTTAAGAGGTTTTCATTGGATCCTTGAAAATCAGTAAGTAAGGAAGTTCCTAAGTTAAAATAAAAAGAAAGTTGCAAATGACTTAGAAATAAATATTAACCTAATCTTCTAGGTACCCAATACTTTCTGAAAAAGTACATACATTATAAAACAACTTTAACGTATACAGGCAAGAAAAATTGTTGCAAGTGCCTGGGGTGGGGGTCTCTACTGATTTTAGATCTCGTCCCTCTCACATAGACTTTGAGCTGGTGGACTCATTGCTGACAATCATTAAGTCTACCATATGCAAACTTCTTTACTTTCCTACCCCAAAGCTACTAATCTGTGCTTATATGCAAACGTCTCCTTTTCCCTCCTGTAAGAATGAAGGAAGGACCTCTCCTGCCAAGGCCTCCTGCAATCCTGTTTAAACGGTCCTTTGGCAACCCTTCTTCCCTTCCTCCATCATCAGTCTTTTCCTTTCTATTGGGATTTTTCATTGTGCAAACATTTATGTGCTATTATCGCCAATCTTAGAAAAAACTAGTTGAATATAGGAAATTATTTATGAAATAAAACACACATGTACACACACACACACACTCTCTAAAACCAAACCTCTCTTGATTCCACAAATTTCTATAACTATTACCCCCAATTCTCTACTCCATTATGTATCCAAAACTCTCAGAAGGGTTAAATCCAAATAGTCTCCATTTCCTCATCTGTTATTCACTTCTTTTTAATTAAAAATTAACTAAATAGCTAATGTATTCACATGGTACAAAATTCAAAAGCACATAAAGGGAATACAATGAAAAATGTCTTTCTCATGCTAGCCACCTAATTCCCAATCTATTCTGTCTTTTGCTTTTTTTTTTTTAAGTGCCTTTTAGAGAGATTTTTCCATATCAGTACATGAAGACTTTTCTGATCAATCTGATTCCATCTTATGACTATATCATAAGTTATTTCACCAGTGCTCTGGGGATGGAAATTTATGATGCCTCCTTCTGCTATTATAAATAAGGCTGAACTTATGTATTACACTATGGCATTTTGCATATATATGGAATTCATGTAAGTGGAGTTGCTGGGTCAATATAAACTGGCAAATGATGTATAATTTTGCTAGATATTTGCCAAATTTTTCTCCAATGTTGAAGAGTCCTTCTGTCCTCACACTCTTGTCAAAGGTATCAAACTTTTTGATCCTTGCCAATATTATAAGTAAAAAATGGGGAATTTGCATTTCTCTCATTATGAGTCAACTCTTATTATATTTAAGAGCCATTTTAGAACATTGCTTGACTAATATGTCTGAAAAGAATAAATTACTTAATGAATGTTGGGTGACCTTCAAAACACATCCTTTGATGATAATAGATTAAGATTACTCTTTTTAAATAAAAATGTAATCCAAAAAAGCCCTACTCAACCATAAAAGTTGAGTCTTTGAAGCATGTCTAGGATGTCTAAACAATCTGTCTTATTGTGGCTTACCATGGAAAAAGTGATGCCGTGACATTTAGATTCCTGTCATAGGTCTGAGTTTGAAAACTTGGGAGGGTTTTAATTTCCACCAAGCTCTTACAGTAAATTCTAACCAGAGAAAGTAATGTCTTCAATTGGGAGAAAACACCTTTGGTTTCTCATAAGAGTGGTACACCAAGATTTCAAGTTATATGTATTGATATTCAGTTATGCTTTTTCTATATATTAGTAAAAAGCTAAGAATAAAAACGACCCATTACTAGCATTAACATATGATATACAATTCAGAGGTTTTAAATGAATATGTTCGCCCAGTAATACTGTGACAAATTGTTGTATAAGTTTGGTATTTCCACCTCATTTAGGATTAGAACTCTCTGAATGCTTCATTATTCTGACCTCCTGGTGGTCTTCTGTCAAAAACTCTTGCAATCAGACTGTTATCTTCTTTGATGAGACAAACCTAACCTCAACACAATTCAATTCAATTTGCATTCATTGAATTTCTTATATTTGCAAGAACTCTACAAGAAGCTTGGTCATTAAATTCCTGCCTCAAACTTACAGCAAGCTCTCAAAGTGCAATGAGTTTCTTTATTTTTCTTCTATATGTAGAAGAAGAAAACTGAGAATAAAAACAATTTAGCATACATGTATAGTTTTCAAATTGTTATTATTCTTTTCTAATTAGCAGTAGCCTTTATAACCAAGTCTAAGTTCTTATGTAAATTGTTTCTCCTATTTTAAAGAAGTCCTCTTACTTTTCTATATTGTCAATAATCACAGCTAATTAAAAAAATTATATTTCCATTAAAAGACCTTCAATGCACTACTTTTACAATGTATATCAGACACAATAAAATATATTCCAAATTTCTCAGAAAGTAATATTCAAACATTATTTTTAAAGGCACTTTTTGTGAACATAGATCTAAACACATACTTGGAATACATCAGTCCTCATGGTTGCTGACATCACTACTTTTAGAAATAGAATATTCTCAATATTTTAGAGAAGCTAGAATGTGATTCTTATAATTATTCTTACCTCTTTGAACTAGTGCCTGAGCACCAGGAACTAATTCTGACCAAGGTATGAATTCACATTGCTGTATATCCACAAAATACCCAAAGATAGAACGTTCACCAGTAGGTAGTTGGATGCCTACATGTGAAAATGATAAATAAATAAATCCAAATTATAGAAAAGTTAATTTATGGAATATTTAAATAATCATATGATCTATACCTGAATGATTTGATTATTGAACTACAACTAATAAGTACTCACCAAGGATATATCTAAATACATAAAATGGGTCTACCTTTTTTTCCACTAGTATCTAATTTATAAAAGTGAATTTTTATTAACTTTTTCTCTTTTTCATATCCAGAAAGCAAAGTGAATCATGATTTGATATTCTTTGAACTCTAACCCAGAAGCCCTGCTTGTTTCCATGTATTTGGATGTTACTAAATTCCTATACTATATTGGTTGTAGTCAAAGTAATACATTAGAGAACTTTGATACTTACAAATAACTATTACTAACATTTATTTTTCCATTATTAAAATAATAAATTCTCTCAGGAAAAATTCTGAAAAATACAGAATAATGAGAGCAAAAGAATTTAACCATGGTTTCACTATACAATGATAACAGTGTTAATATTTGATATATTTTTCTATCATTTAAAAAGTTTTTACATACAATAAAATTCACTTTTTTTTTTGCTATATAGTTCTATGAGTTTTTTTCCACATGAACGGATTCTTACTACCATCACCATAGATAGAATACAGAAAAATTTCAATACCTTAAAGAATTTCCTGGTGTTCCTAGTCAGTTCCTCCTCCCAATCAAAACTCTGGAAACCACTGATCTGTTCTTTGTTTCTATATTTTGGCCTTTTCCAAAATGTCACATAAATAGAATCATACTGGGTGTTTACACTTAGCATAATGCATGTGAAATTCATCAATGTTGTTGCATATATCAATAGTTTGCTTCCTTTTATTGTTGAGTTATGGTTCAATGCTCAAAGCCCTCAGCTGCTAACCAAAAGGTCAGCAGTTTGAACTCACCAGCCGCTCCGCAGGAGAAAGATGTGGCAGCCTTGGAAACCCTATGGAGCAGTTCTACTTTGTCCTATAGGATTGCTATGAGTAGAAACTGACTTGACAGTAAAGAGTTTGGTTTTTGGTTTAGTATTCCATTGTACTGATGTACCACAGTTTATTCACCCGCTGAAAGACATTTGGGTTGTTCCAATTTTGGTCGATTATGAATAATGCTGTTGTAAATATTTGTTTACATGTTTTTGTGTGAACATAAGTTTTCATTACTCTAAAATAAATATTTAGAAGTGAGATCATATGGTAAGTGCTTATTTAACATTTTAAGAAACTGCCATACAGCTCTCCAGGTTGGTTGTGTCATTTTGTCTTCCCATTTGCAAAGTATGAGAGTTCCTGTTACTATACATCCATGCTAACACTTGGTACTGTAGATATTTTTTATTTTAACCATTCTAATACGTGGGTGGAACATTGTCTGATATAGTGCTAAAAGATGAGCCCCTCAGGTTGGAAGGCACTCAAAATATTACTAGGGAAGAGCTGCCTGCTCAAAGAAGAGTTGACCTTAATGACTTGGATGAAGTCAAGCTTTCGGGACCTTCATTTGCTGATGTGGCACAACTCAAAATGAGAAGAAACAGCTGCAAACATCCATTAATAATCAGAACGTGGAGTACGAAGTATGACTCTAGGAAAATTGGAAGTCATCAAAAATGAAATGGAATGTATAAAGATTGGTATCCTAAGCATTAGTGAACCGAAATGGACTGATATTGGCCATTTTGAATTGGACAATCATATGGTCTACTATGTCAGGAATGACAAATTGAAGAGGA